TTTTTTTTTGTCCTACAACTCAAAACAGAGACTTAACATTTAATGGAGTGCACAAAGTTATGCATGCGGTCTTTTTGAACATGATATTCAAGAAAGATCGAGGCAAACATTAATTCAAACCATCACTATCTCAAGGATATATATACAGTATATGTATATATATTTATATTGATTACAAAAACAGGCCAGTGGAAGCTCATTGTCACCTGTCTTTGCTCTACAGCTGAGTGTGAACTCTGTGAAGGGCAGTGTCGATGGAGACAAAATCCAGTGTACCTTTATGGCCACTGTGCCAGCCTCAGCTACTAGAGCATCAGCAACACCTTTGTCAGTGCAAGTCTTCACTGGAACTTACAACAGCGGTAGGCTGACACATTAAAGAGTCATATTCACATCTACATCATATGTATTTTCAATGTTAAGACTGGCCTATGTGCTAAAAACACAGCGATCTCATTGTTTTTTTTGCTTGTTCTCTCAGATAATGAAAATTTGGGCCCAGCCAATTCCCAACTAAGCACCACTCCGGTGGACCTGTCAAATCCTAGCGCCACTGTCACCTATTCAAATTCCACCATCGCCAGCCCCACGGCCAGCACCACCGCCAGCACCACCGCCAACACCACCGCCTCCTCCACTGCTGCTCATAACTATGCCATAGCACTCCAGCAATCACTGATGCAAGGTAAGCCTAAGACAAAGTGTTTTTTATGGATAACTGAAACTATAGTATCTTCTTTAAAAGAGCAAACATTGAACAAGACCTACTAATTGTTTTTCTGTTCTCCTATCGTCCTCTGTAGCTCTGCTGATCAGTGTTACAATGCTGGAACTGGCCATGCTATGAGCAAACTGAAATCCCAATGAGTCAAAAGATCTCATCAACATACGCTACTCACTATAAACATTTTACAAGAGGTTAACTATACACGCAGAGTCTAAGGAATCATGTTGTATTCTATATGAACTTACTTTAGATTAAAATATAAGGAATGAAGGCGGGTCATCATTCTTCTGCTTTCACATCTGTTACAGAGTCTGAAAATGACAAGAAATTATTTTAAGAGATTGTTTTAATGTAATCCATTCTGTTCTATGAGTTACTTAATTGCATCTTTGAATGGCTAGAATAGAGTACAAATGAGAAGCACTATTACAAGTGGAACCAGTACAAGTAATCAAACATAAATTCCAGATGAAGGGAACGGGTACTTGGCTTTCACCAGGGGGTGTCATGCTTCATGCAAATTGTGGGCTTGGGGTCTAGTTACTTTTTAACTCGTGTTGTCCTGGGGTCATTCTGATCACAAATTAAATCTTTTGCTGTCAAAATATGTTTTTTATTCATCAAATGGTCTGAAAATAATGTGGGTTGTTTGATACTATGCTCTTCATGATTAAAATAAAATTGAAGTAATTTGATTGAATTATGGGTGTTTTATTGAATTTAATAACTTTTGTTTCCTCTGGGGTCAAAAAGACCCTGTAGCACAAAGTGGTGCAATGGAGCAAATTGCTGCACCATACTGCTTTCCAAAACATCTTTGATCTTGGATGTCTGATGTGTGGTTTCAAGCAATGGTTATGACAAGAAAAAACAGGTCTTTTCTGGTGTTGGAGCATTTCACATTTTAGTCTGAGAGAGACAGGCAGCACAATGAGGAGGCAGATGCATTATACTGCACAGGAGGCTTGTAAGCTCATTTTTGACCACGTTGTGGAAAAGAATGGCCAGGAGGACAGTGCTGAACATAATGGGGAGTGAAGTCTTCCGGTTCTTGTACCATGCCAACTCTGAGAGATGAGGCAGTCCAAGTAGTTTCAATACAATGCTGATTTATTCAATGAACACAGGTAAAAATTAACATTACACGCTCAGGTATCTTCCACCCCCCAACCTGCACGCAAGCAGCTGAAGGATGAAAGACCCAGAACCACAACAGGCCTATACATGTATCAATTTTGTTGGGCTAGCTCCATTCTACACAGAAACGCCAAACCGTGACGTCTCTGGTGCCAGCTTTGCAGCTGACCATAGCAGTAGTCAAAACATGAAGCAAATCAATGTGTGTGTGTCTGTTGATTGTGGTGTGTAGCTAAAAACATTGTAACACAAACTCTAGTGACATGTCATGACATTAAACATAAGAAAATATTATGGCTAAGGCCACAGTTATGCACATCATAATAATAATATTAAACATCCCATCTGCTGACAGTCAAACCTTTCTATCTAGTTATCCTTGACCATATGCACCCTGCAAAAACTCATGACAATGACTAAGCATTTGACAGCCTAAACTAGACATCCTGTCTCCACTAAACATTTCTAATACAAGTAACTAACCAATGTCTATCTGACTAAAAATATCTAAAAACTACCCCTTTCGACATGACCATAATCGTGTCGACCTAAATCAATGTCCCATTTTCCCCAGATGAAGCTACCTAGCGTTTCAAGAGGTGAGAGGCCCCCCACCAAAGCCACCCCCTCAAGGGTAAACTACAGAGCTGAGTACGTCAGGGAAAAATGAACTAAAAACACAA